ATATATAGATACTACATGTAGACCTTTCTTAGATTTGTTCATTTCGTGATGATATCTTCAATTCTCTAATTTTGGTGAATATTTTGGTCATTTTTGGTAGAAAGTGATATTTTCGACTTCTTGTTAAAAACTGTAAGTCCGATTGCTTTGATACTATACATATTGTTCATTTTCTAATGATGTCTTCAGTTCTTTAATTGAAATGTGCATTGCTAACAGCGGAGCTATCTCAGCCGATAGGCTGCTTGTTTAGTTTGTTGTTGTTGCGTTTTCCTGCCTTTCCCCCATACCACACACTAAAAAAGTAGATGTATTTGTCCGTCATCTTAATTCAAAACTGGACACTTTTCACTATTGTGAAATGCCACGTACTTGTGCCACGGGGTATGTGAAGCCTACAAAGTAGTGTAAGATTTCTGGTATTTTCGATTTAAATAATGAAAAAAAAAATGCAACCATAAAATATACGTTTCCTCTAAGCAGCGCACGCGTCAGTTTGAATGGTATGCACCACGTGACACCATTTTCATGGTTTCTGCTATTATTCGAATTGCGAAAAATAAGGCACCTTGTGACTAAACACGAATTGTTTTTTAACTAGTTTGTCAGCACACATTTTCTGCATGTACAGTTTTTTTTCTAATCATCCCATCCAATAATTCCATATTTTTATATCTTCCAGATCGTCGTTGCATTGGTGGTGTTTGCCATAGCTGCTGGCATTGGTGTAGGCATCGCTAAAGCTTTAGGTAGGAAGACGCCATCCCCTGTACGACCCGGATATGTCTAACACTGATTGACTCACAGAGCAGTTTATTAGTTTAATAAGTTTTAAATTGAGAGAAAACCACACTAAGTTGTTATTATTCACCGGAGGGGGGGGGGGGCAAATTGAACGCAGACAAATACACCAATGAGGAGGTGCCGCTTTTATTATTTTTACAGCAACGTGCGTGAGGCTCGTCACTCGACAAATTTGCAAGATTCTCTATAGTTTTCGCTTTTCAAGGACAATATTTGTTTTAGTTGGAGCATTTTGAAGTCAACATTTCCAGAGTGAACCAAATAGCTACCAGAGACGAAAGAACCATGATTGTTCCATGCCGCGTATAACAAGAGTGGTAGCAGGACGTACTTGTTTTTGATCAAAGGAGGTTGATTGCGCAAGGGGATTGAGTTCTGAGTAGTAGTGGTACTATACCTTACCTCAGGCTGATTGCGAACTCAGATGAATAATAGTACTTCGCGCACCCTGATCCGGGCACTGATCTCGGTATGCGTTCAGGGAATATTTAAAGCTACTCGGCCCTTGCGACAATATACTTTCGTTTTATCTGTTCGTTCAATAATTACTAATCGCGGATTACGGCATGACCTCACGGTCTCCTCGGTGACGGAGCTACGTCCCGAGACGTTCCACGTTGCTAAAACGCGCACCACTGTATCACGCATTTCTACGGGCTCTGCGCGCTGCTGAGGAACGTGGAACGCCGAGCGAAGAGACGGTGACAATTCGAGAAAACAACAGAAACTCAACTTTGAAGTAATCCTGAACAATCAAATTTATATGAGTTACACACGTAGGGTAATCGTTTTACGCTGTTCAGGGGAGTCTCAACAACCATCCCAAAGTACCGTTTTCTGAGAGTTTTCGGCCTTTGTTTTTATCGTGATGGTTACCATGCGATGATAACGCCCGGATGTCCGCCCCGAGAATTGGTTGGCATTACATTGCTCGGGAGCACGTGTGATGGCGCTATATACCTCGCATAGTCTGCTTATACAGAAGGAAAATGCCCGAAACATGTGGTTGTTATTGTCATGGAAAATGGTTAAAACTGGCATTTTTTAATTGGTTTCTATGGTGGAATAATTTCTTCATATCTCAAAATTTTATTTGGTTACAGCGGATAAAATAGTCACATATTAATATTGATATGAATCCTAATATTGTTGAAAAATTTCAAAAAATTTACATACTATAATTTAGTGATTTTTTGGATGACTCCATTATAAACAATGGAGAGTTGTCTCCCATAATGCATTGCATATATGTGCAGTAAGATGCTCATTAGTGAAACAGTTGACCTCGGCTCAAACTGTATATTTTTAGGGTATGACACACTCCTTTCAATGTTTCTGAATTTGTCATGGAATTGAGATGTGTATATCGTAAAGTAACATGGAACCAAATTGCAACTGACAAGACCTGGGAATCAAATGAACGATTGCTTGGTGGGGACTGCTATTTTTTTTTTTATTTTTTTTTTGCCATCCTTGAAATAACAATTTTGTTTACTTTTCTCAGAGGATGATCTAGAGTACCATAGGAAAGTGTGGTTTCATGGCGCTTGTCCCAAAGATCGCGAATCCTGTCCCAGTGGGTAAGTTTGGCGTGGTTATGAAACCCCATGATTAACTTCGGAATAAATATGTAAGACAATTTTAAAATAAACAAATTGATTTTGTTTATGTATTGATTACTCGTGATAACGTGATGGTTACTGCATATTTGCCATTTCGATAAATTTCTGAGTTGCCGGTACTATGATGGCATATACTATGCTAAAAACAATGGACGTTCGTTTTCTATCCAAGTCGTGAAACCAGTTTTTAATCAAGCACTGCTCGTCGTGAGAAAATGGTAATTGTTTTTGAGTATTCCAACGCTTCGTTTGTTATGATTAAAGCGGGGGAGTCGTCACCTACGTATGCGTCCGGTGGCCAGAGCGTGTCATTGTTTACAAACAAGCGTCTATCCATGAGCCTTTGCGTTTTTAGCGTGTGTTGTTATCGTCGCTTGGGACTCAATTCCCGCACGTGCGCTGGTGACGACCCTTCCGCTTTAACCAAATATTGTAGACAGAGTTATTTTCGTTCACCGCTATTTGAATTAAAGTATTTCACTTTTTTTATAACAGATTTGACCGTGCTCCGCTGATTGTTGTTGGTTTAAATGGATTCACTGGTGACATATTCGATCGTCATTTGGCCAAGCATATTCATAAATTACGTAAGTTTAAATCAGTTTTGGAATGTGGTTTGTGTCTTGGCGAATTCAGAGTTCCCCGAATAATGCAAGTACCGGATTATTGGTGCGAGGGGCGCCATCTAGAGATGAGTGTTTCTGTGACTTTAAATGTAAATGTCGTTAATGGGTGTAAGGCTCAAACATATTAAAGCTGTGAACGACAAAACTTACATCCATTACGTCACAAAAACACTTCGTCAATAGAGGGCGTCATGTCTATACTAGTAAACCTATACAAGTAAACTGCGCAGTATATTACATGAATGATGTAAAACCATAGACCCTCTACTGGATGGTCTATGGTAAAACTCATTATTTATCCTTGGAATTTATTTTCGCTGGAGGGGTGATTCAGTGAAAATAAAATCCAGCTAATAAAGCGTTTTTCCAATACGTTATATTCAACTCTTCAACAATCAAACCCCATACCAAACACCCCTAAAAATCTTTTCAGTGAGAATTATTTCCAGCTAAAATAAAGTATTTTATCGTCTCACTTCTCAACAGGTGAATGCGGAGCACATACTCCGAATATGTCTAGTATGTTTCCACTATCAACGTATCCTAACTACTACTCTATAGCAACGGTGAGTTGAACCCCGGATTTATATATTGGAACGGTTGAAGATTAAATATGTGAACACATCTACTCCGTGCAGGGTGGCAACATGTTCGCTTCTTGGTCGACCAATTTGCAACTACTGTATGGGCAGATTTATATTATTATTTTTTAATTATACAGGAAAATGACAGAAGCAAATATGATCTTTTCTAGGCCTCTCCTATATAGAAAACCGATAGTGCGACTGTGATTGTCAAACTTCCGGTGAAACTAGGGTATATACATATGAACAGTATGTCCTGTCGATTTCTTTCGAACTCAGGCAAATAATTGGTATTCAAACGGGGGGTTCATATGTCATGATATATTTTTTTTATGTTTTAGACTCCGTTTCATCAAGGCTTTTAGTGTGGAAATTTATAAAACACAATATTTCATTTGCAATAGTTCACAAGATATTCCGCGGTCGTTCTCCACGTCATAGTGAGGAGCAGTGGTCGTCGCGCCGCGTCGTGTTCGATATGGGACTCATAGCGACGCATACAACGCATGTAAAATACACGACAACCACAGCCCTTTAGAGGGCGGCGGTCGTCGCGCCACGCATGCGCGAGATATGGGTTTCATATAAACAAAGATGGCGATTTTGACTGTTGCGCACACCAACAAATACAAACTTGTTACCAAACTTTAACTTGGTATTCTTTTTAATGATTAGAAGGCATCGAAGGAGTCACTGACAGCAATTAGTGTAAGTTGTGCCCAGGACAAAACTCGCATCCGTGATTGCATTAGAAAAGCGCACTTAGATTGTGGGAAAATCAATGTTCGTCAACACAAATTTCGCACATGCGCGGCGCGACGACTACCGCCCTTTAAGCCTTCTAGCACAAGATGTTCCAAACACAAATCTCAAACTTGGCAATCACAATTCCCGCCTCATCTGAGCAGTAACTTTTCGAACTATGTTGGTGAAAAAAACACAGTTCAGAATCTAATTTTATAATTTGTGTTTAATCTCCCCCAGGGTCTATATCCGGATGTCCACGGTATCGTTGATGATTACATGGTAGATGAAGACTATGACACTGTGTGGGAGAACGGCACTGATCGTAGTCGTCCCAAAGACAAAGTGACTGCTGCACGATGGTACAAGGGAGAACCTGTAAGTTTTCCCTCTATGGTGACATTAGTTATTATTTCGTTTTTAATTGTGAATGAGTACGATTTCGCAGTTTAGATACGTATTTTGGAGTGTTCTCAGGAGCGCGTCATTGGTCCCTCATGAAGAGGAATGGATTAATTTAATTTTTTACAAGATTTCAATTTTGAAATATCTTTTTCTGATCATTCGGTGTGCAGAATTGTCGTTCTGAAATTTGTCTCCAGAAATTTGTTCCCAGAGTATCTATTGGCCAGCCCCTTAAAGACTTGAAGTTTCCGTAAAGTTTCACAATTCCCATCCGACCAAAATACAGTGACAATTATGGGCACAACCACAAATAAATGTGTTGTTGTTTTTTTCTAGATATGGGCGACTGCCAGAAAGAAGCATCGCAATTCTGCTGCCCTCTTGTGGCCAGGCTCTGATGTTCCAATTGAAGGTGAGGACGCCATTTTGAAATGTTTTTTCATATGTTCTCTATGGCATGAAACCTTTTTGTATCACCTGTACTTAATTGTTTTGACTTTGCGTTCAATATCCTATGAAATGGTGAATAGACCTTAGATACAAAATGGCCTCCAGAATCTCACTGAGAGCGAGAGATCCATGAGATTTGACCATTGAATAGCGATATATTTTTTTCCTGTCATCACCTCCACTCACAGTCACTTGGGGACTGAAAATCAATAAATACTAATTTAAAAAAAAATCATCCGCTATACGATGATTTTTTTTAAAATTAGTATTTATTGATTTTCAGCTCCCAAGTGA